CACTTTTTTCCCTTAGAAGCCTCATTGCGTTAAGGTAATACGTTTGGCTAGAAAAGAAGTACTTGTATTTTGCTGAAGTGAAGTTGCACAACATTTAATATCCCACCAAAAACATATATCAATACATAGCTATATAATTGTAATAGTAATGGCATACCAAATGTTATATGCTTTATATTTAGATCAAAGTCCATGGACGTTAATGGACCAGAAATTGAAGAAGCCGTTAGCCTCCCACCAAGCCGTGATCCAAGTAGAGTACGATATGCAGGTAGCTTTTTATGTTTTCTCTATATTTTATTGTACCTTAAATTTCTTTGACATAACATCAGAATGTTTTTTATTGCTTTAAAAATGTTGCTAGTTCATGTCATAGTACAACTCCAAATTCTTGAGAATTTTGATAATATGGGTAATCCACCGTAAAAATTTGCATAAGCTTATAATTAATGACTTGTAGTGGGACTAATGCATTTCACAAGGTTACCCTTACATCGAAACTTCAGCATCTGGCGAACGATATAATGAAACCCAATCAATGGGAGGGAAATCGGGAGAATCCAGCAAGAGCCTTTATCAGCACAGTACTCTGGTCCTTGAATTGGAACATGATAAGCAGCTGAAGTTTGTACTATTGTGGTTTGCCTTCAAATATGCGGATGTGTATTTTTGCCGTTGCAGATATTTCCTGATTCCGCCGTCAATGCTAAGCGAGCCAGCAGCCGCGAAACTGATGCGACGCGGCAAAAAGCTGCATATTTACAATGAGCACACGTTTGTAGCTGTAAAAATTCGAGGGTACGTTCTGACTAAATTTAGCTACATTCTTCTGTTGTAATCTACACGATGCTAATGAAAGTAATAATTAATAAACCCATCGTTGTCAAAATTATCTCATTTGTGAAGAGGTAGGAAAAAAATTTAAGATTTTACAAGATTTACATTTTTTAATTTATTTACATTTACAAATTGAGCTAGGTGACTGGTACAATGTTCAAGAAAACTGCGTAAACTTCATATTTTTCAGGGGTGTTAACTGTAACGTCTGTCAACAACGGATAAAATCAAGTTTTTCAAAACAAGCGTATCAATGTCGAGGTAATGTTTTTAGAAGAGACGAGTAAGGTTTTATTTTAAAGCGTCTACATTGCAGACTGCAAACTTGTGTGCCACAAATCATGTCATTACAAGACTGACGCATTTTGCACTCAAAGTAATGTTTCTAAACTTCAAATGTAAGTTGCTTTGTGTTGTCTTCTTATGAAATCCCCAACTGGGGAGAATTGATTCCCTCCTTGTTTCAGCTCGCCTCAGTTTTGGTGATTTCCAGGATTACGGCGTTTGCGCTCACGTAGCGTTTCTCTTCATAATTTCACTGTCATCCAAAAATGTCTTTTCAACGATTACCTCTCATAAAACTTAATACGTGCTTCTGTGAATGCGCTGAGCAAAAAAATGAACACAACCGTCCTTACCCTTGTTTCGACCATACTGCCTTTCCTTATATGACTCTCTTGACCCTACTGCATGTGAAAGGACCTTCCTCACCTTTTCTTTTAACAGAAACATTTCAGAGCTAAAGATGTCGACTGGGCGCACTTTTTAAGCCATTACCAGCTCG